TTAAAATCAAATAAACAATAATATTGATATTCATTCATCATATTCATTTAATATAATAAATATACAAAACATTTCAGAATAAAGAATGAATATTTAAGAATGAAAATATTGATTTATTCAATATTTTATTCAACATAAAATCAATAAAACATATATTTTGATAATACACAAATGAAATAATAAAGAAATATACAATACTCAAGAATTAATAAAAAAGAAATAAAAAGAATAAATGAATATAAAAATGATAAATAATAGAAGAAAGAAATAGAAAAAGAACGAAAACAAATAATATAAAAAGAATATAAATATATAAAAGAATAAAAAGAAAGTAGAAGAAGAATATAAAAATAATAAATCACAAAGATGTAATAAAATAAGAAAAGAAGAAATAAAAAGTGTAATTTTAATGTAAAAATTAGAAATATTCAATAAAAGTGTCTAATTTAATGATGTAAAATGATTAACAATATTTTATTATTGAAAAATATTTTACTCTTTTTTATGTTTATTATTTATATGTATAATTTCAACATGATATTTATTATATATTCAATCATATGTGTTATGTTATTATAACATATAATAAGTGATAAAATATAAATGAAAATGATATGAATATATAACATAGATAGAATATAAAACAAAAGAATAATAAGAATAAATGATAAATAAAACGAGAAATGATAATAAATGATATAATAATAAAATCAAAGTATAAAAGATAAAATTAATATTAATATAAATCAAATAAATATAAATATAAAATGAAAATAGATATAAATGATAAGAATATAAAAATGATAATAATATAAAAATGATAAAGATGAATAAACAAATACATCTAAATAGAAAAGAATAACAATAAGAAAATCTAAATAATATAAACATAAAAAACATAAAATAAGAAGAATATAATAATATAATAATATATAGATAATAAGAAGAATACAATGATATAAATAATATAAACAGAGAAATAAATATATAAAAATACGATAGATAAATAACATATAAAGAAAAGAATAAAAATAATAAAAATAAATATGAATAATCAAATAATCTATTTCATTAATATTTCATACAAAATGAATACAATTGATTATAAAATATAAACATAAATATTTATATATTCTGTATTTATCATACTTTTTATTTTATGAGCAAAATATAATAAATGGAAAATTCTATGGATGCAAATTTTTTTGCATCTTTTTTCTTTTTTTATAAATTATTTAGATGCATTTTTTCTTTGCTAATTTTCATACCCAAAATAAACAACAATACAAATGAAAATAATAAAAAGATAAAACTAGTATTTATTAATAAAGGAAAAAGATAAAATACAACAAGATAAAATAAAACAAATTAACAAAATAAAATAAAAGTAATTCATTTCAATAATAATTACAATAAATTGAATAAATAAAAACAGTAAGAATGAAGAACAAAAAAATATAAAATTAAAAATAAATAATGATAAAAGATATAATGATTAATATGAAAGAATTGATGAAATAATATGTAGAGAATATAAGAAAATAAATAAATATCAATACAACATGAACAAAACAATCAAATGTGAGTTAAAGAATAATATCAAATAAATACAAATAAATACAAATTAAATATATATTTCAATTTTATTTAATAAATGAAAATGATAATATTTTTTATTGTAATTAATATCATTTTCTACTTCCTTCTTGATTTTTATTTTCTTCTATCATCTTTTATATTTATTTTTATAAAACTATTTCATTTATTTGTATATATCTTTATCATTCTAATTATTCATTATTTGTTTGTTATTTTCTTTCTGTTATTTTTCTTCTATCATTTTATTATCATTTTTCTTCTTTTATTTCTATTATATATTATTCTCCTTTTTCTTTATCCTTTTTCTTTCATCTCTATATTATCTCATTCTTTTCATATTTCATTTCTTGTCTTATCTTTCTCTATCTGATTCTTATATTCATTCTAATTTTGATTCTTTGTGCTATTTTATTCATCTTATAATTGTATAATACTCTACTTTAAATATAAATGGTTTATAACTCATTGTGGCATATTGATGACGTGGCAATTGTATAATAATTATTGTACCACAATATTATACTAACCACAATTGCCACGTCAGCTGCATGTCACAATTTAATGGTAATAGCATTCTATTAATAGAAATAGAATGGATTAATTTATTAATAAATTAACTATAATTTGATGATAGGACATATGACGTGTTGTATTATTGTACCACAATATTATACTAACTGTTTCCTTAATAAAACGGGAAACATCAATGTAATAGGACATTGACAGGAGTATAGTAAATATTATAGTTTAATATTAAACTATACTAATATTTAATGACCCTACCATCTAGATATAGTCATTACAATAATCAATGTACAGTACAGTGAAAGATGACAACGGAAAGTATTTCTGTGGTAGTGAAGATGAAACAGTTGTTGAAGAGAGAAACTTGAAGATATCAGATATTATATGCCTTCAAATGGATTTGAAGAAAATAATAGACGAGTGCAAGATATTAGTTAATGGGAATGATTTATCATTAGGTATCGATCCATTATATTGTTTCAAATGTATAGTTGAAGGTAATATAGAAACAATAGAAGAGATAGAAAAAGAAATTAAAGCATTCAAAAAGAGAAATATTCTCTTTATTAATGCATTGAAAGAATTAAAGAAAAGAAAAGAAAGAGAAGATAGATTAGATAGATTAGAGAAGAAAAAGAAAGAAGAAGAGACAAAACCAGAGAGGAGAAAAACTAGACCTCTCTAGTTTAATTTAATTTAATTTTTTAAAAATTTGTTATTTATTTTTGTTATTCAAATTTTTAAAAATAAAATAATTTGTTATTTAAACATTAAACAATAATAAAATAAAAAGGAATAAAAAGCATTCAATTAAGATGTCTTATATCGAGAATATAAATGCGATGTAAAATATAAGTCAACAACGAAACAAGTCGTTGACTATTAAGTAGCATTGCATTTAAATCAATTATAATAAAGTTCAACAAATCGAACATCTTTTTGGTATACTTCATATTGTATCTATGGAACCAAATATGGAACCAATACACTAAAGAGTATAAAAATGTTCGACAAAACTCGGATATTTCCGAGTCAAGAAATTGTTGAACTATAAAGCCGATCTCCCTTATCAAAGAAGATAATAATGGCTTTTTCATTCTAGGAGGCATTGAATGCTACCTATATTAATGCTGTTTAAATAACAAATTAAATGGCTGATATGAGGTAGTATATGAGGTAATCAATGACTTTTATACTATACTTATAATAAAAATATAATAAAATAAAAATAGAAAATGTCTGTTTTGTCTCTCCATCTGTCTGAATGCCTGTGACATCTAAATATTTAAACTACAAGAAAGAATGAAATATAACATACCACGATGGACAGCGAAGACCGAATAGAAAATGTGAAAATAGAAAATATAGATATAGTTAGTCTAAAAATTTACTTTATTGAATTAGACACTTTAGAGGATTTCTGCGATTACCTCGTAGATTGTTTTAAGAAGGAACAGAAATTTTATTTAGAAGATGATAAATTTAATATGATAATGGAAGAAGAGGCTAAATTAGTTAATTCCATTTATGAAATAAGTTCTAATATCAAGAACAGCTATGACGATATTTTACAGGCTTTTGAAATAAGGGCTACTGAAAGGCAAAGAAGAAGAAGAGTTGCCATTTCAAGAGAATTGAATAAGAAACCAAGAGTACTAAAAGATAATTAAAATAATTTAATTTAATTTTTTTTAATATTATTTTGTTTATTAAATAAAAAATAAATAAAATAAAAATAGTAAATTAATAATTATTCCAAATCATTAACGAAATGGAAATTCTCTAATAATTCTAATAAACCTCCTAGTTTATTAAAACGTTGATCCTTAGTGCAAGAATCGACGAAACCTGTAAGGTAATAAAATAATACATCACTATAATTATAGTGAGTCTCCTCGAACCTCCTCATAAAATAGAGGATAGAATAGATCAGACACTTGGTGTCCAAATCTAAACTATCGCTCTCGAGGAGACCTTTACAGGTTTCGTCGATATCTTGCACAATGCTAGACAAGAGGGGGAACATCGAATAAAATAAAAAGTACCATTGTTTAAATAACAAATAAAACGTGTAAACAACACGACAAACAGACACTTAAAGAGGCATTTCTAAATTAATTGAATTATATTTTTATTATTCTTTTTAGTTTAAAAATCATTTTCTGCCTCATACATTACCTCATATCAAAAACAATCCGGAAAAGATAACAAAAAGAGATAAATTAACCAATCAAATAAACAGACAATGAATAAACAACACGTGGAGATTTAAATAAAAAGGTCCAACAAATCATTTGATAACATCGAACAATGAGTAGCTTACTTGATAGATACTATTCCTTTAATGCAATGCATGGCTTCCTCATATTGAACTTCGATGCTAACCATCCATCTCTCTCCACTCCAATATTAAAGCAGATGGTGGAAAATTGGTGCTCCACGGAAACAAATAAGGCTGAAATAGAATACTTGGCCGCAAGTAATACCAAGGGAACGAATGCTCATGCTCATGTATTCTTTAAATTAAAAGATAGAGCAAAGGTTCATAAAAAACCAGTTGCTAAAATAAATAATATAGAATATAAACTATTTTTTACTCCAGTCACAGAACATAAGAAATTTGATGGATCATTTCAAGCGATAATAAAATATCTAAAGAATCAAAACAAGAAACACGGATCAGAATCTACTTTTGACGAAATTGGCAAAGAAGAAGCAATAAAAGGAAAAGTGGGAAATAACCTGGTGGAACAGGCACTATCATTGGAAAATTTGAAAGAGGCGGAAGGGTTATTGAGACAGGCAAGCATGACCTGGTATTTAAACAATGTAAAGAAGTTCAGAGATGTATGGAGAGAACAACACGATAATAAACAAACTAACAGAATTAACATAAAACTTAGACCCTGGAAAGAAGATAATATATTAGTGAAAAATGCTAGAGCTTGGCTCCAGGGAGTCAAATTATCAAAACAAAAAAGAGTAAAAACTCTGGTATTATTAGGAGATACCAGAATAGGAAAAACTGAATTTGTAAACGACCTGTTGAAAGGAATGAAAGTGGACGAGTTTAGAGGACACTTCATGTTTGATGGTCATGATGAATATAAAAATTATGATATTCGTCTGTTCGACGATGCAAATTTAAAAGAAGTTCAGTGGTTCGAGTTTAAAGCACTCATTTCAACAAGAGGAGAGACAATCACTATGAATATAAAATATGACCACGTTAATGTAACTAGCTTGCCAACTATAATAGTAATGAACACCAAAAACTGGGACATGATGAAAAGAATAGCTAAAGAAAATGATGACTTAGAATGGCTCGAAAAAAATACGGCTGTTCTTTACTCAAGAGAACCACTCTTTGAAAGACCAAAAGAAATTAGAAAAACTATAGAAGAATTAAAGAAACAATATGGTGATTTAGATCCAGCCATATTAGAAATGTTTGATGAAGAAGATATCCAGCCGGATAAAGAAGAAGATGGAAGTGAAGATAGCTCCTCAGAATTCCAATTACAAGAACCACTTCCAGCTATAATTAATCCTGAAGCAACATTAAGATTACCAGAAGATGACTTTATACCAGAACCAGAAAAAAGACTCAGAGTGCCATCAATAGAAGATGATGAAGAACTTGCATCAAGATGGCCTCGTTATGGAGATGAAATTAATTAACTAATTTTTTGGTTTATCTTTTATTTTTATTTTTAAAATGAGCTATTGGTATAGACCAAATGCATTAAAAAGAAAATGGGGAAGTTATGGAAGTATTCATAACGACCAATATTATGATAATTATAATGATTACTCATTTAACAATGGAATGAATAATAACTATGATCCAGATAATGGAGAAGATGAATATTTTGAAGAAGAAGATGTAGATTTACATCCAGACAGCTATCAATCTAGTACTTATTTTGATCCAGACAATGAACCAGACAGAGTAAATAAACCAGACATAATAGATGAAGAATTTAACAAAACAGAAGATTCAGCATTTGATGATCCAGATTATGAAGAATATACTAAAGAAATACATATCGATGAAGAACACATTGAAGAAAACAAAGAACAAGAAACCGAAGAAGAAGAAAATGAATTACCTCTACAAACAATAGTTGATCCAGAAAATCCAAATAATATTTATACATATGATAATAATACTATAGAATTATTAAAAGATATGAAAATAAATATTAACAATAAAAAGGAAATAATAAAAGCGTTACAAGATATACAAGATGACATTAGACAAAACAATTATGAGAATTTAAAAAATGCAATAAAAGAAGAAGGAGTAGATAATACAATCCCTGTAATAGAAGAAAGAGGAGATGATATAATAGTACAGAATATAGATTATGATGAAATAAAAGATAAACAAATGGAAGAAATAGAAATACACAAAGATGAAAAAGAACCAGATAGAAATATTATACCACCTAGACCACCAAGAGAGAATAGAAATACTATTAAAGAATGGATAGATAAAAATAGAGATAATTCCAAAAGAAAACATCATTTAGAAGATACTAATGAATATCAAGAAAAGAGAGATTTTGAACGAGGAATAAAAATAGAAGAATTACAACAGTTCTTACCATTAGAAGAGAAACAAGAAAGAGAAGAAGCAATAAATGAAACAAAAATAGAAATTCCACAAAATGAAGCATTGAACGAAAAAGAAGAAGTTCAAAATAATGAAATAATGAATAATTCATTACCAAATGAAAAAATAGAAGAGAAAAGAGAAGAAAAAGAAGAAAAAAGAATCAAAAAACCAGTTATTGTCAAAAAAGAACGAAAACTCAAAGAAGTTAAGAAGTTTGATTCTAAATTTAATTATAAAGAACTCTTCACTGACGTTAAAAACAGAAAACGTGAAGTTGATGAATTAGAAAAAAGATATAGATTACTTACTAAAGATATATTACACAATTATAAACCAACACAAAAGAAAGAAGAAAATGATTCCAAAAATATTCTACCAGAACAAATTAAACCAATAATAGAACAAGAAGAAGAAGATTTAAGAGTTGAAGACATTCCAAAAGAGTTAACAATACAAGATCAACAAAAATATTGGAATAACTTTAAACATAATGACGAAAACGTTGATGTAAATGAAGATGAAGAAGAAATAGAAGAAGATATAGAAGAAGTAGAAGAACCAGAAATAGAATATGAGTACGAGTATGAGTTCTAGTACTATACTCTGAAAAGAGATAAATTGAATATTTAAACTATTTATTTTGAACTGTTTAATCATTCATACATGACAACCATTAAAGACTTAATTGCTGACCATGCTATGGGTAAGTTTGTATCTATGGATGCAGATGAACTCATAGACACAATGGTCAAGCTAATAAACTCTGTAGAAGAATACACCAAGGAAGAAGAATTAAAAGGATTAAAAAAACATTATTGGAGCTTGGTGTATAGAATAGCCAGAAAGAAAGGCTTAATGTGGGATAAACCACAGATTAAAAAAGTAAAAACACCAGAAGTAGCTAAAAAAGAATACAAAACTAAATTTGTATTAAAAGATAAAAAGAAAGAAGAAGAAAGTAAACCAAAGAAAGAAGATAATTAATTATTTATTATAAAATTTAACTGTTCCATTTATTGTTTTAAAATGATTAATTTTATCATCATCAGGTGATACTCTAAGTAATACCTTTTCATAATCAGTACGATCATCACTTATTCCCCATTGTTTTAATTGTTTATAAACATTCTTCATTACTTCAAATCTCTCTTGTCCGCTTTGTACTTTATTAAAATGAGGTTGTTTATGTAAATATTGATGTAATCCTCTTCTTTCAAAATCAGATGGTTTAAAGATAGTACCTTTATTATCACTTCTATTTGTTCTTGCACCAATATGAATTTTATGATAATAATCATCAGAAGAATGTGTACTAATAGCTTCTGGTACTGGAATATATTGCAAACTTTCATATCTTCTCATAACATTTGGTTCAAATGCTACATTCTCGATTCTCTTCCATAATTCAGGAGGTAATACACTTCTAATATATTGTTGACTAAAATTCAATTGGTCTAAATCATCATCCATTAATTTGTGTTGATTAGTCAAATCATTTAATTTATCAACAACAATATCACTAATCGGTTTAATAGCATCCAAATACTTTTGTATAGCCAAAGGAGCAAGAACACCAGACATTTGATCTACAATTGATGAATCTAAACATCTTTCCCCTTCTGGTGTTGTTTTAAAACAATTTCCGTTAACACGAATAACTTTTCCTTTATACAAAACGGGTAATGTCAAATTTATATCCTCAGGATGAGTAAGATAATACAAAGCTAATTCTTTCTCTCCAAAAATAGTAGAAATATATATTTATCAACAATTTCAGGTCTATTCTGAATTGCCATCTTAATTAATTCAAGTGCAGTATTCTTCTCAAATAAATCTCCTTGTTTGTATCTCTTTTCCAAATATTTATATAAATTGTTTCCTTTTATTGCCTCATTAAACTCTTTGAATTCTTTAATATTAAAAATGGAAGAAACACCAAAAGCTTTTGCAATATCAGTAAAATATCTCGAACCATATTTTTTATATCCATCAACAATCCCTCGAATCAATGAAACATCTAAACGAGCAGATGGATCAAAAAGACTCTTACCATCTGTCATTTCCCAAAATTTATCTTTTATAAAATCTTTAATAATTGTTACTGGTTTCTTCTCTTCAATAAAATTATCAACTACATCAATAACACCTTTTACTTTACTTTGTAAATCTTCAGAATCAATTACTTTCTTTACATTTGGTAAAGATGGAATATACTTCTTTATTTTTTCTTTATCAAATATTTTCCCACCATCATACTTAGAAGTACTAAATGGTTTATATTTTGAACTATCAACTCTCCTAGAATTATCAAAAGGACGAATACTTAGTGGATTAGTTCTGTTAGAAATACTAAAAGGATGATATTTCTGTTGATTACTTCTTCGTATTCCATCATAATTAAATCGTATAGATCCATATGAACCATATCTTCTTTTATGAAGATTTAATCGTTGTTTTCTCTTCTTAACCAAACACATTAAAATAAAAAGTTAATTAGGAATTAAAGTTTTTACTACTTCTAATACTTCTTCTACTGCATTCATGACATCTCCTTGTCTTCTACTTTCAAAAAATGCAAAGAAACAACTCGCTATTAATAATATACATGATAATAGAAGCATGACTATTTTACGGATAATATTCCATGTACTTTCTTTAAACACCCCTTCTGTACATTTAGACGAGTGATTAGAATCACTGGAGTCTGCACTCATATTATGAATTAATCAGTTCATCTTTATATTCAAATGATCCGTTCTAGAAATAACTGTCCTAATAATACACATGAAGTAGAATTTGTATTTAATACCCCAATTGAAGTTAAACTAAATAAAGGAATAGGTGTATATACAACTTCTCTTTTTGATTTACTCTTCAATAACACAAATTATAAATCATTCTGTAATTGTTTTAAAAGAGTTAAAATATTTAAAGCATTGATTAGTCTCTCAATAGGTGAAATAAATGTAGAAGAAATAGGATTAAATTTTCCTATTGTTAGTACTACATGGTTTCCAACATATATTCGTTCCAATATTGATCAAGACACTGCTGATGACAAAGATATAAATAAAGTAATTAATATGATTAATTCAAGTACTCACTTACAACAACAAGTCTATTATCCAGGTGGAGCATTTCAAATTAATACAATTATTAAAGCTATGACATTACAAGAACAAAATTATTATGGACCGGGTACGAAAATTAGCAAAGAAAAAATGCATCTAAATAATTTACAAAAATGAAAAAAGATGCAAAAAAATTTGCATCCATAGAATTTTCCATTTATTATATTTTGCTCATAAAATAAAAAGTATGATAAATACAGAATATATAAATATTTATGTTTATATTTTATAATCATTTCTATTCATTTTGTATGAAATATTAATGAAATAGATGATTTGATTATTCATATTTAATTATTTTTATTCTTTTTATTCTTTTCTTTATATGTTATTTATCTATCGTATTTTTATATATTTATTTCTCTGTTTATATTATTTATATCATTGTATTCTTCTTATTATCTATATATTATTATATTCTTCTTATTTTATGATTTTTATGTTTATATTATTTAGATTTTCTTCTTTATATTCTTTTCTATTTAGATGTATTTGTTTATTCATCTTTATCATTTTTATATTATTATCATTTTTATATTATTATCATTTATATCTATTTTCATTTTATATTTATATTTATTTGATTTATATTAATATTAATTTTATCTTTTATACTTTGATTTTATTATTATATCATTTATTATCATTTCTCGTTTTATTTATCATTTATTCTTATTATTCTTTTGTTTTTATATTCTATATCATATATTCATATCATTTTCATTTATATTTTATATTTTATTATATGTTATAATAACATAACACATATGATTGAATATATAATAAACATCATGTTGAAATTATACATATAAATAATAAACATAAAAAAGAGTAAAATATTTTTCAATAATAAAATATTGTTAATCATTTTACATCATTAAATTAGACACTTTTATTGAATATTTCTAATTTTTACATTAAAATTACACTTTTTATTTCTTCTTTTCTTATTTTATTACATCTTTGTGATTTATTATTTTTATATTCTTCTTCTACTTTCTTTTTATTCTTTTATATATTTATATTCTTTTTATATTATTTGTTTTCGTTCTTTTTCTATTTCTTTCTTCTATTATTTATCATTTTTATATTCATTTATTCTTTTTATTTCTTTTTTATTAATTCTTGAGTATTGTATATTTCTTTATTATTTCATTTGTGTATTATCAAATTATATGTTTTATTGATTTTATGTTGAATAAAATATTGAATAAATCAATATTTTCATTCTTAAATAT